TATTTGGGGGCTATTTCAGCAGGAAGGGAAATACCCTCTCAGTCCCTCAGATGCAATCCCAGAGGCTGCACAAATGTTCTGGAATCCTCTGCCACAAAAGCAGCGCTGTGCCTGATGGGTTTGTTTCTCTTTGAGTGGATGAGGCTGAAGGTGGATGGGGCTGCACAGGAGGGCAGGGCTGGGTAGCCAGCTTCTCCTGCCAGAAGCTGGGCCTGCTACAGCTCCTCACGGACAGGCCGTCTAACAGCATGAAAGTCTCTGTGGAAAAATAAAAAATAAAATCTAAAGTTCCACTGAACTTGTTCTTTTGAGAAGAAGCAACACTAGAGAAGTTGTTTTAGCTCTGTGCCCCTAATTTTCAGTTACGTGTGCAACCCAAACCTGTTTGTGTGTGTGTGTGTGTGTGCAAATCCACAAAATTCAGGGCTTCCCTCTTGCTAGGCAGGTGCTCTACTACTTGAGCCACACCTCTAGCCCTTACTTTCTTTTTGTTTGTTTTTCAGATAGGGTCTCAGACTTTTGCCTGGAGTCAGCCTCCAATCTTGAGCCTCCTGCCTCCCTTTACCTCCCAAGTAGCTGAGATTACAGGTGGGAGCCTAGGCATCCGGCCTAACTATATATGTTTCTTGCTGAGAGATCAGTAAAAATTTCTTAAAGTGCTCAGCCTGGTTGTTCCTCCAAGGAGATAGTTCTGGTTTTGTTTTTGTTTTTGTTTCTCCCCCCCCCCCGCCCCCATATCTAGGCCAAGGATATCACAGGAAATAGGGAAATTTAAACTTGACTTCTAATGAGAGTTTTGTCATTCAGGTGTGCCATCAATGGAGAAAAAGGGAAGAAAAAGACAATCAGCATCTATTATGCACCTGCTGTCTGCCCAACATGATCACAAATGATAACTCACTGAAACCTGAAAACAATAGTTGGTAGAAAATTAGCTTTACTCAGAAAGGAGAAGACTTAAGCACTCTCTCAAGGTCAAATGACAAGAGGTGAAACTGGGGTTTAAAGAAGATCCATTAGACTCCAAAGCTAAAGCCTCCTCTTCTCTATCAGGAAATTCAGTCTAGTAAAAAAAAAAAAAAAGACTTTTTTATGGTTCTGAGATTTGAACTCAGCATCTTGCACATACTAAATAGGTGCTCTACCACTTGAGCTGCATTTCTAGTTCTTTTTACTTTATTTATTTTCTTCAGATCCTGTGACTTAAAAAAAAATTTTTTTTTTGTCCAGAGTCAGCTTTGACCTGGATCCTCTACTTTCTCAAGTAAGCTGGATTACGAGCATGCACTACTATGCCCAGCCTGCAAAATCTGCTCTAGAAAGGGTCTTAGAATTTTAGTATGCATGAAGGGAGATTAGTCAGCATCCTTTATAGCTTTCCACCTCTCCTTCCCCCCATCCCCAACATATTGCGATTCAGCATGGAAGACAGTTCCTCTGCATGTGTTCTAGAGTTCACACCCCCATCTCAACTTCCCAAGTGCCAAGAGATTGAAATGTAAAAAAAAAAAAAAAAAAAAAAGTCTCTGATGAGATCCTCTTGTCACCAGAGTAGAAATTAGCACATTTCCCAGAAGGCCAAGCTAAAAATGCATGTGAGAAAAGCCAGGGAGCCAAGCATATGGGACAATAAAAATGGAGGTAGCCTGGCCTCCCCAGGTTCCCCAGCCCCTGGCTGAGGCCCACACTGGGCTCAGCTGGCCTGGGAACAGCCAAGAGGAGAAGGAAGTGGGTGGTTACTATGTTGTGGCCTCGTTGCACAGCTGTGCGAGTCAGTGAGGGGAGGAAAATCTGGGGGCCACGCACAGAATCGCCTCGTGGGTAGCGTGAGTCAGACACAGACTGTGTGTCAATCAAAGATGCTGTGCAGGGCAGTTTCAATCACAGCGCCAGCAGCCTCTTCTGATGGGGTTTACCTGCACGCGCAACCTGCCTGTCAACACATGGTTCAAAGCACACACAGAAAAATCAACAATGATCTTGTGAAACTTCAGGCTCATGCATCAAAGACTTTCTCTTCCCCCAACTACCAAACTCTTAAAGTCAGAAGCTACAGACGCAGCTACAGAATCTGACACTAGAGAACTAAGCCTAAGAAAGGAATCCTGAGAAGAGGAAGGACTTGCTCAAAACCGTCTGGCAGGCCTGGGGGCCAGTTGTTCACATCTGTAATTGTAGCAGCTCAAGAGGCTGAGATCTGAGGATTGTGGTTTGAGGTCTTGGAAGAAAAGTCTGTGAGACTCCTCTCTCCAATTAACCAGCAGAAGGCTAGAAGGGGAGGTGTGGCTCAAGTGGTACAGAGTCAGCCTCAAGCAGAAAAAGCCAAAGGAGAGAGTGAGGCCCTGAGTTCAAGCCCCCAAACTAGCAAAACAACAAACAAAACAACAACAACAACAAAACCTGACTAGTGACAATGGCCTAGTCTCTGTAAATGAGGCTCTCTGATTTATTGATCACTAGAGCAAATACAATCTCCAGTGTTGGATCCTGGGCTCTGGTTGTTTCATGATGCTTTTTGTTTGTTTGTTTTGCTGCCAGTCCTGGGCTTTGAACTCAGGGCCTGAGTGCTGCCTCTGAGATTTTCCCACTCAAGACTAGCCACAACTTCACTTCTGGCTTTTTTGGGGGTTAATTGGAGATAAGAGTCTCATGGACTTTATTCCCTGGGCTGGCTTGGGACCATGATCCTCATATCTCAGCCTCCTGAGTATTAGGATTACAGGCGTGAGCCACCAGCACGCAAGTCTTGGTGCCTTCATATATTGCAATCTCTTGTTAAGGAAATTTAAGAGTAATTATTTTGGGATCGATGCTATTTTTGTGTCTTTTTGTACACTGTCTTCTTTGTTCCAGGAGGAAATTAGAATTCTGGAAATACATTTGCTTTTATTTAATTATTAAAAGAACAAGCCTCTATTTCAAGTAGTTACAAATAGGAATCATTAGTCTGTCTAGAAAGGGCATACGCGGCTGAAACAAGCGACAATAATCTAGCGCCATGTGCAATTAGGACCACCCCCTCTCAGAGCTGGCAGTAAAAGAATGTCTGTCTGCTCTGTGAGTCGAAATTGAGAAAAGTGATATTTGATATGGATTGTTCTGAGCAGGTCTGGATTTGATGTTCTACACAAGAGTAACATTTTATAAAGTGCTTCTAAATGATATTTTTCATGATTGCTCTTTGTCAGTGTGGCTTTATTTGTGCTTTTGGAGACTTCAGGGACGCAGAGTAAGAAGGATCAAGGAAAATGAAGTTATTAGCCAGGCTCTGGTGATGCATGCCTGTAATCCTAGCTACTAAGGAGACAGATCTGAGGTCGGTGGTTCGAAGCCTGGGCAGGAAAGCCAATGAGAGTCTTTTTCCCCAAAAAGCCAGAAGTGGAGGGAAGCTCAAATGGTAGAGACCCAGCCTTGAGCAAAACAGCAAAAGACAGCACACAAGCCTCCAGCTCAAGTCTCAGCACTAGACACACACACATACACCCCTATTTCCCTGGGATAGAGACCAACAAAGACCCTACCCATCACTCATTTCCCTCTCACATCCCTTTTCCTCCTAAGGTTTATTCTTACTTGAACTGAATCATCTTCCACTATAGACCCAGTTTTCCTGTCTCTAGTTTTTACCCTTGAAGATATTTTCCTGAATAGAACTTTTCATAGAATTGAGCCACAGCGTCCTTGAAAACCTCCCAACTTATTTACATAACGGAAGCTATTGTTTGAAGTGCAAAGCAGGTCAGACTTTGGTTTCTAGAGATTAATCACTGCAGCCTATTTTATATTATCATAATAATTTCATTTATTTTGATACAATTTGTTTTCAGAATCAACCCTCAGCTTCCAGGGCCCAAGTGACAAATCCATTTGTTTCTGGTTAGAATGAATAATGTGATTAATGACCTTGCAACAAGATTTCTTTAAAAACTGGGGAGAGAAAAGGAGGGAGAAAAAAAGAAAAGGAAGATTTCCATTTAAAAAAAAATGTACAGCAAACCAGCTCAACTGGGCATCCAATCGCTCTGAACTTGTTTGTAAACTACAGGTGAGGTTTTGTAGCCATTTTGCTCCTCCCTTTATGGTATTTTTGAGGGGGGAGGGAGATGTTTCCATCTATTACCCGTTCTCCCCAAGGACAGTGGTCTCCAGCTGGGGAGGTGGGCGTAGTGGGATTCCCATCCGTAAGAACAGGGCACTATTTCACCAGGGGGCACCATCGTGATGACCCCAGAGGGGTCTTGGCATAGATAAAGGTCAGCTGTGCCAGGGTGGGGGGTGGGGCTGTCATGTGACCGTGTGGCTGTGCCAGGTCCCCACTTCCGGCTGGCATTTGGTGAGGGGAGGAGGAGGGAGCCTGGACTAGAACATTCTCTCCGTGTTCTGGGGCCTGGGTTACCAGGACCCACTGGGCGATCGGGACTGTTCCACCCATGCTGCGGCTCCTTCCCGCCTCCAGCAATGACGAACCCGCGCGGAGGTGGCTCATTCCGGCGACCCAGGTTCGAATTCCGCCGGGGGTGGTGGCACGGTGGTGGTTCTTTTTGGAAAGTGGGGTGACACCGCCCTCAGGGCTTTCCTTTCCGTGCCGGAAGTCCTCAGCCACCCCGCAGGCGCTTTCCAGGGCACAAAGGCTGTTTTGGACCCCGTCCTCGCTTTCGGGGCGCCTCGGCGGCCCGGTGCTCGTGTCTGAGGCTCCTTCCCACGCGCTCGCCCAGCGGCCCCGAGAGCCGTGAGAAACGCCTCCGCCACGCCCTCCTCGTGACGCGCACCGGGACGGACCAATCAGAGATCTCGGCGCGCGCCCCACCCGCTTCAGACCACGCCCCCTCCACTTAAGAAAGGGCGCACAGGCCGAGCCGAGGCTAGTGCGCCGCGCCAGGCGGAGGGTGCGGCTGGGCGGCCGTGGGTGGCGCTGGTTCCCCGAGTGCCCTCGTCCCCGCGCGCCCCGACGGTGCTCAGACGGCGCCCATCCAGGCTGCGGTGAGCCGAGCGGCGGCGAGATGTGGGCGCTGCTGGCCGCCGGCGTAGCGCTGGTCGTGGTCACCGGGGCGCAGGACAACCCGGTGCCCGGCAGCCGCTTCGTGTGCACCG